GTCTGTAATCGTGCGCGTGACGAGTCAGCGAGAGCTCCGGGTAGGTGTGAATTTTAGATAATTACTTTAGCTGCAGCCCTGACAGGCTGCGACCATGTGTGCTTCAGACGTCTAGGCTTTCGGTTCAACAGGTTGCGGGCCAAGCCCCAAACCGAGCCTAAAGCCCAAACGCCAGAACCTAGAATTGAAATCTTAATCACGACTACGACTACTGCCACAGCTACTGCTACTGCTACTGCTCTCTACTTGTCCTTTCTCATGTTCATCGTGTCTCCGCCTCCATCGTGGCCGGGACCAGCATCACTCTGATCACGCCGGGAGTCTAGAGCCACCAGCGCTTGGCGACACTGTCGGCAGAGTGCAAAATCCTGCACCAGGGTCTTCGGAATCGCCATGGGGCTGATGGGCTCAGAGTTGCAGCCTTCGAGAAAGAAAGAGTCTTTGCCGTCCCAAGAAGCTATTGCAGACGATCCTGCGGTTTGTGCTCTTCTGGTTTGGATCTCGAGTAGTCCGCTTCCCTAGAGGCCGATGTTCCATAGGCGTTGAAGCCGAGTGCTTCAGTTGCGATCAGCGTGGTTTGGGTCCAAAGAGTCCGTGGGGCGTTTGCGGTGCAGCGCCCATACGATCGAAAGTAACGGCACCGCTCATAATTGTTCATCATTTGTTTAAGCTTCGTAGTGTCAGCTTTATCGGCAGCGCCAGTGCACGAGCCGGGACAGCAAGCGAGTCGATCAAGCAACGGAATGAAGCTTCAGGTTCATGTTTGCGATCGAAGGCAAGCCGCTCTCGGCGTTCCAGCTGCATCCAGCTGCATCGCTCTGAAGAGTTGAAGAGGGACAAGAGTTGGTGGAGGCGCCCGAGCAGCAGGCGCCAAGGGCGGCGGTGTCCAGAAACTGTCGCTCGCGAGCGAGATCAACATCATCGGCCCCAAAATCGCGCTTGGTTCGCGACTGAGCGGTGGATGCGTCTGATGCAGGGCAGGATTCCAGTGATGAGGCACGCAAGAACCAACGTAGACTCGCATCTTGAAGCGAAGCGAGAGGCGAATCCAAACCTCAAGGTGGTCGATTCGTCGGACCAGGGACTGAAAACCACCAGAAATTCACGCAGCTTAGGCTTGAACCCGCCATCTGCCACCAAGAAGGAACTGCCAGCTTTGCTGAGTTCATGGCTGCTACTAAGCTCGCGGCCGGATTGAGTGAAACACATAAGAAACGGCATCGACCCGATGTAAGCACCACAAGCGAACGGCGAGCATTTCCCAAAGGGTTTTCCGTATTCGCTGCATGTTGGTCCATGTTGGTCTGTGCCTTTCGCGGTAGCCTTGATCTGGCTGGTACAAAGAAGAGGGGCCGGGCAGTCTGGCGTTCAGATCCCTTTAGCGCCGAGCCTTGCAACCGGGAGCCATTGCTCAAGCCTGCAGCACAGCTTGAAATCATTGAGCTGTGTCTAAGGTCAGCCAGCTGCAGCATACCAAAGTTCAGTATTCGACCAACCAACACAGAAAAACACGGCACCAAAAGCAACATCAACAGCAATACAAGCAATTCAAACAATACAAACAACAGCAACGGCAACAGCAACAACGACGCTGCAGCAGCGCTACGATGGCAATGTGGGGTGGTAGGGATTTGAGTAGAGGTCGTACCGAGTGCGTAAGATACCTCCGTACAATGCCTCCATCAAAAAAGCAAGCAGGCCATACACAGACCCGAGTCACAGTGTGGAAAAAGGTCCTGAGCATGTGACGTCATTATAGGAGACAAATTTCCTTCGACCGGCCAAGTGAAGTGCTGAGACATGGCCTTCCTTCTCAGCCCTTTGCGACTGGGCTTATGGAAGCAGTCCATCGTGGCGCACCCAGTGCTCATGTGCATTCGGGGTCATGTGGTTTGAACACGCAGTGGATTCAAGTTCAAGGATTGAGGACGGCAAGCCGCCTTTTTTGCGC